ATTGACCCCAGAGGGATGGAAGGTCACCTCCCCACTTGGCCCCCTGGCACCAGGGGAGGAGTGAAGCAGAGTATTGACTACCTTACCTAGCAACACCTTGTTCTGACTTACTGATACCCCCTGGGTGTGAAGACTCAGGTTTCCACTGGGCCTTTTTGACGGGGGTTGGGGAGAGTGGAGGGCTGACTAGCCCTGCTTCACTCTGCCTGTTCAGTCTCATTCAGCTGCCTCTTGAGCTTGGCTGACACCAGGGGTCAGGTGGAGAAGAGTGGAATGCTCTATGAGTGTGGGTGCTAGGCATTGCTAACTGGGTGAATGGGTAGTGGTGGTGGTAGTAGTGAAGTGTAGTGTAATTAGCCTCATAATGCACCTCCTCATTAAGTTTTGTTACTGAAGAGTGGGGGTTCAAATCACTGTAGGACCCCACTGACACTACTATAGGAGTGTGGAATAAGAGAGTGGGGAAATTGGAGCACTGCCTGTTTCCACCTAGTGGAGGAGGGAAGATCAGCTCTCCACTCAGCCTACCGACACCACTTGCAGTTAGAGGGCTACCTTCTGCTTCGCAGGGTAGGGGATAATAAGATGGAAGATCAGCTCTCTGCTTGGCCCTATGAAACTGTGGAGTGTGATGAGGTTTTTACATTGGTGCTTGGTTGGAGTAGGGTGGTATTGCCACAAGTTTTCTGATGTTAGCCTAAACTTTTCCTAGTCATTTGGCTAGAGAGAACAGAATTTTCTTGTTTCTTGGAGGGTTTTTTGTCCATGCTGGTTGGGCTGTTCCTGGTTGGAGGCTTCTCCAGCACCCTAGTCAGTATATATGGGAAACAGCAGTAACAAAGGGAACACACTGTGTGGCTCAATAACAGTCTTCCTTCCACATTCAGATTCTGCCCATGCTTGTTTGTTGTGTTAGGTCGAGTTTTTCGTGGTAAGAGGGAGAGCCTAGGAGGAAGAGGGCTAGTCTACTTTGGCTGGAAATGAAGAGGCATTTTTTTCTCTATAATTATTTTATTAAATTATTATAAATGTACAAGAGCTTCTTTTTTTCTTTTCTTTCTGCTTTTTCTCCCCAAATCCCCCAAGTATATAGTTGTATATTTTAGTTGTGGGTCCTTCTAGTTGTAGTATGAGGGATGCCGCCTCAGTGTGGCCTGATGAGTGGTGCCATGTCTGCACCCAGGATCCAAACTGGTGAAACCCTGGGCTGCCGCAGTGGAGTGTGTGAACTTAACCACTCGGCCATGGGGCTGGCCACAAGAGCTTCTTAACTCTACACATGCACTTAAATTCTTTAAAAAGAAACTGTCATCCTGGCTAGTAGCTTTTCAATATTTTAAGAAAATTGTTTTAAAAGATTTCACATAACACCTGAAACTTACACATTTAACAATATCAAGGAAGGAATGTTTCTAAATTATTACCAATACCACCAGAAACAATTAAAAAGGTAAGAAACTGTCTCAAAGGCATTTTTTTTTACAGTCCTTCCTCTATAATAATGTTATTAAATAATGCAATCCATTCACAAAACACCTCTCTGCATCTTCTCTCGTGTCTTCTGCCATATCACTCCATATTTATGCATATCTAAGTTTTCTAAACATTATTTTCATAACCTGAAGCTCTTCTGTTACTTATCAGCTCCTGTCCTCTCCAAGTGATACAGTGAAGTCTATGGCAAATAGGGTAAGACGCTCATAACCCTCCCTCATAACCCTCATTTCCTCCACTGCCTCCTAGACGATAGTTTCCTCCACCATTTGGTCCCCACTATGTTCCTGCTGCCACCAAAATTTCCACTCTTCATTAGACCGTAGTTATAAGGTTGCTAGTTATGATTTCCAAAATCATTGTAATTTCCACTTCCATAATTTCTTCCTCCAGCGTTGTCATAACCACCTCCATAGCCCCCACCCTGGTTGCCTTATCTAGGTCCTCCACCACTGTATCTTCTTCCTCCTTAGTAACCAGTGCTACTTCCAGAACTCCCACCTCCAGAACCTCCTTCACACCCATTATAGCCATTCCCAAATCCATGTCCTCCCAAATCCATATGCTCCACCAGATCCTCCTCTAAATTTGCTTTCTGATCCTGGTCTAAAATTTCCACTGCCTCTGCATGAATCCTTCCAACTACAGTAGGCTCCTCTGCCACTCCTAGAACTTCGGACTTCCTGCATTTCTTGTCTAGACAACACCTTTCTTATTTTTATTTATTTATTTTTTTGAGGAAGATTAGCCCTGAACTAACATCTGCTGCCAACCCTCCTCTTCTTGCTGAGGAAGACTGGCCCTGAGCTAACATCCGTGCCCATCTTCCTCTGCTTTACATGTGGGACGCCTACCACAGCATGGCTTGCCAAGCGGTGCCATGTACGCACCCAGGATCTGAACCAGCGAACCTGGGCTGCCGAAGCAGAACGTGCGCACTTAACCGCTGCGCCACAGGGCTGGCCCCAGCACCTTTCTTAATGCTTACCGCTGATGGTATGGTATTTCTGTAGAACAACTTTATTCACAGGATCACGATCATCAAAAGTAATTAAGCCAATACCTCTTTTCTTTCCAGACTGTAAGTAATTATCTCAAATGGTATCAACTTTTCTATATTCCTTGCAGTAATCTTGAAGGTGATGTTTCTTAGTATCTTCTTTAATTTCACCAACAAACAGCTTCTTCACAGTTACACAAGTACCAGGTTTTCCAGATTTGTCTCATTATAGCACATCTCGGCTCCAGCTTTCTCGCATCAATTGAATGAGATCTTGCAGCCATGGTGGCATCAACCTCAGCCATGGATGAAAAAGTTACAAAACCAAGTAAATACTCTTGATCTTTTGCTTGCAGGGTCCCTCATTACCAGACAGTCTGTAAGTTTTCTCCATAGCTCACAGTAGACTTTCCTCTGTAGTTTCAAAGCTTAAACCACCAATAAAGAGTTTACAGAAATGCCCCTCTTCTCTCTTCATAGCAGACTCAGTCACTTCATCTGGATTTCAGCCCAGAGAGATGAGCAAGATCTCTGCCAAGGAGCACGAGCACACTTATCCCAGCACTGTTGTCTTGAGGCATCTGTTTCTTGATGGTCTCTGCTTTGGTGTAATGCATGCAAAGGCCTTCCATACCACAAGATAGTTTTCAAAATCATTTATATTTCATCATGTTACATTTCTGATTTGTTTTTTTTTAAAGATTTAATTTTTTTCCTTTTTCTCCCCAAAGCCCCCCAGTACATAGTTGTATATTCTTAGTTGTGGGTCCCTCTAGTTGTGGTATGTGGGACGCTGCCTCAGCGTGGCTCGGTGAGCAGTGCCATGTCCGCACCCAGGATTCAAACCTACGAAACACTGGGCCGCCTGCAGCGGAGTGTGCGAACTTACCCACTCGGCCACGGGCTGGCCCCTGATTTTTCTTTTTATATATTTTTTGTGAACTAGTTTAATTCCCCAGATAAGTAACTATATTCTTAAGCATTCAAAACTGTTCTGAAATCACCTCAGTTTTCCGCCCTTCTTCCTGTCTCACTTGCTTCCTTCTTACTTTATTGACTTTCCCCTTTAGTTCCATTCAGCTGACTTGCATCACTGTGACATGATTATTATAGTTTTATATTAAAATGCTAATAAAGCAAATTCAGCTGTATTATTTATTACCATTTTCTTGATATCACCAATATAGTCATCCAGATAAATATTAGAATTACTTTATGGTGTTGAAAATACTATTTTAATTGGATTATATTAGATTTATAGCTCATGAGAGACCTTGAATTTAGGCTTCTTTTAAAATTTTATATAAGAATATGTGTAATTCGGCATACATAATGGGTGCAAAAAATGAGTGATGCAAGATTTCAGAAACATATGTGACATGCTTCTCCCCCAAATTTATTATAAAAATTATCTTAATCAAGCATTTAGGTCTAATTTTGCCCCATTTGAGGCAAAAAACCTTTTTGAGTACTTTCCTCCAGGCCGTGTGAATGGTGCAGCTTTCCCCCGCCTGGCGGGAACAGGCGCCAGTCCCGGCCCCTGCAGCGCACAGCTTCCCTCAGGCGGCGCAGGCGCGCTGGGCGGCGCTCAGACGCCGGAGGCCCCTCCGCTCCGGTTCCCGCCTCTGTCCCGCGGCCTGAAGCTTCTCTCGGCCGGTGGAAGCGAAGGGCTGCCCTGGCTGTGCCCCAGCCCTCAGGGTTCACTGCTCCTCAGTGTCTCACGTCCAGCGCCTTCGAACCAGCTGTTGCATCTATTTTGTTCTTTTTAAAGCTCTTTTAGGAGGAGGCTACTCTGGTTCCTGTTACTTCATTTAGAGAAGAAGCAAACAGGAAGTAACTTGAAAACACTTCTGTCTGTTCCCAGAAGGGTGTATTTCTACAGAGACTCTTGTTCTGTTACATCTAATCAACGGTTTCTGTTGGTAAAACAGTTTTAGCTTTAAATGTCTCCACGTTTAGTTTCTCCTCGTTTTTCTTCGAATTATTGTTTTTTCCATAAACTTCAGAATCTTCCTCTTTAAAAAGGAAAAAGGGCAGGACCGTCGGCGTTTTTCAGAAGTGCGTTCACTCCGCGTCGTCACTTAAACGTAAAAGCCCGGCGGGAGTCCGCACCAGGGAGGACGAGCACACATCCAGGTGACCAACGTCTTCTTTTTTTTAACAGCAATTTAAACGAAAATTACAAGAACCTGTAGGCTAAAAAGAAAACTCGTAGTGCTCACCTGAGGCCCCATTCTCACGTGCCCGAAAGGCCGTTTGACTTGACTTGTCTGACTTCCCCAGATCCCGCAAGAGCCCAAGCGGCTGTGGCGCGGTCCCTCGAGCGCGGGCCCGCGGCGCTGAGGAGATGACGACCAGCGCCACCAAACTCCGGGTCAGCGACGAGGCGTCTGCGCGGTCGAGCCCGCGCCCGGGGCATTGTGGGGAGCGTAGTTCCGCGGCCCGAGCTTCGGGGCATTGTGGGTATTGACGCGCCCCGCCCCAGGGCATTGTGGGTCGCGCAGGCCGGCCCGGAGCATTGTGGGTGGTGCGTCCCGCCGTGGTCTCTCAGAGTGGGCTGACTGCGCTCGGGTGCCGGGGTGAGCGCACCGACTGTGGCCGCCCTCTCCGGGGAGGGAGGGTCAGGAGAGCCGGGCGAGAGCGGCGGGGGAGGGCCCGCTGCGGTGGCCGGTTCCTTGAGGTTTGACTGTCCGGGCGGGGTCGGGTGCGGTCCGCCCGGGATCTCGGGTCGCGCTCCGTCCGCCGCGCCGGGGGCCCAGCGTCCTGTCCTGGATTCGGGGGACACGAGCTGCCCTGGCTCGGAGCAGACGTCCCAGTGCTGGGGCGCGCGGCCGGGCGGGGTCCCCCGTGGTGATGGGGGCGCCGCTTGGCCTCAGGGCCCGGCTTTTGGGGGAAGGCTTGGCCTGGGCCGGACCCCCAGACGTGCCTTGATGGTGGGGGGCGGCGAGGGCCGAACGACTTGAGTCAGCGGCCTTGGGGCCCGCGAGCTCCTGGGGGAGTTGAAGGGCCTGGCGGGGTCGGACGTCCGGGGTTGCGCGGGGCGTCCCTGTGTCCAGATCGGCGACTGCCGCAGCGGTCTGGCTCCTCAGGTGCCGGGGCCTTCCGGGAGCATGGTGGGGGGGGGGGGAGCGGACCCCGGGGCAGGGAACTTTCTCCAAGCCCCAGGGGGCTGCCGGCTGAGCCCCTTAACTACTCGGGCTGGGAGAGGGCGTGGGGGTTAGACATCCAGGCTTAAGTTCTTCTTATCAGCTTTCATGATGAAAACACCGCAAACGTACCCAGGAGTAGCCGCGAAGTGCCATGGATTCACCGCTCAGATTGACCACTTATCGATGAGAGTTCTGTCCTTTCTCCCCCAAATCCGCAGCCCCAAGTGTGCATCTCTTTGGGTGCATCTGCCACCCCCTGACTGTGGCCCTCGGGCCGTCCTTCCCTCCCCTGCCTCGTTCTGATACCTTACTTTAGTGAGGGTCTCGAGCCTGCCGCCTGAGCTCGGAGAGAAGCCTGAGGCTGGAGATGCTTCTGCTGTGCCCTGGTCTTCCCTGGAGCTCTCTGCTCCCCACCCCCCCACCCAGGGGCGATCCGGGAGGGGAGAACGCCTAGGGGCCTGCCAGCCCGTCTCTGGTGGGCACCGCTTCCTTGTGTTCTGGTGACGTTTTCCCCATAATGGAGAGTGATTGCTTTGCTCCTCGATTCTTGTGCCTTGTAACGTCCCTTCTGGGGCTCAGAGCTGCAGGGTTCCCAGACAGCCAGGCCTGTACTTAAAGGGGCACACCCCTGCACAGGGGTCCTCCTGGGGCGCATCCCTCTGCCCTCATTCAGGGGCTTTCCAGCATCTTCAGGGAATTCTCCCGCGTTGTTTCTGTCCACCTGCTTCACAGGGTCTCCTCGGGTCTTTGGAGTGCTGGCAAAACAGTGGTGCTGAGAAGTGCTGTTTTGAAAGCCTTCTGTTCACTGCCATATCGTATTTCCTCAGCCGTCTTGCACATTAGGTAGTAGAAGTCTCCTTTTATGGAGAGCGAAGGGGGGTAGTAGAGGATTAAGTAGCTTCCACTTTGGAGCTGGCTGTTCTTTAACTTTCAGAGTTTTAATGAAAATTTCAAAAGAGGTGTACTGTTTTTCAAGTTTGTCTCATACATCTAATGCTGATAAAGATAAGACATTCGTTCACTTTCTCCTGATCCTTGATCTCAGCCCCTAATGACATTAACTTGTGTTGGTGACATTAATGACACTAACAGAAGGTGGGAATCAGACCTTCCAGTGTTTGCAGTCCACTCCCCCTCCCACCTTAAAGTTTTTTCCACATTCCTTATTTTTGGGGTGTGGAGTTACTAAATTTAAAATTTATTATGCAAATTTTACAGATACAGCCAAAAGTAGTGGCATATTGAAAGAGCGTCTATGTGCTCCCTCACTCGGCTTCAGCAGTTGTCAACATTCTGCTCTTCCCCTCTTCCTTTTCCTTTTCTCTGCTGAAGTATTTTGCAGCAATCCCAGATATCATTTTACCTGTGAATACTTCAGTATGCATCTCTTTTGAATAAGGACTTTAAAGAAAACAACCTTTCTACCAAATGTCACACCCAAAAAATTAAGCAAAATTCCTTGATGTCATCTAATACGCAGGCTGTGTTCAATTTCCACAATTGTCTCAAAATTCCTTGCTGCAGTTTAAATCGTACTCTTTCAACAACCCAGGTAAGAGGCATGTATTGGGAGAGTATTTGGAATTCTGCCTTCTGAATACCTGCTTCCCCTTTTCACCCATTCTGGCCTTGCTGATCTTTGTTAATGGCGTGATTCCACCCCTTGGCTCATGCTGCATGACCACAGGGTTCTCCTTGCCTCCTTGTGTTTTCCAGGTTTCCCACTAATCTGATGAGCTGTTCAGTCCTGTCAGTTCTTCTTGCCCTTCTGCTGTCCCCTCGCCTTTGTGTTGGCTCAGCAGGGTCATGATTTCTTCCTCAGTTGTTACCTCGTCTCTGCTCTCCTTTATGACGAACGTCATCAAGTGAGTTGTCTACATTTGATAAATCTAGTTTTCCTCTGCTTAGTCTCTATTAAATTCCAGATGTTTGGGATTTTTCTAGATAACTTCCTGAGTTCTTATTTAATTCCATTCAAGTCAAAGAACAAATTATATATAATGTTAGTCTTTGTAAGTTTGTTGGGAGTTATTTCATGACCCAGCATATACTGTGTCTTGGTGAATGTACCATAGGCTCATGAAAAGAATATATTCTCTCGTTGTTGGGTGTTCTAATAAAATGTTAGGTCAAGTTGGTTGATTTTTATGTTCAGATCTTTTATTTCCTTACTGGTCTGTCTAGTTATTTTTATCAATTTACTTAGCAGTAGTTATTTCATCAATTGCTGTGACAGAGCGTTAAGTTCTCCAACTAGGATTGTGGAATTGTCCATTTCTCCATTAATTCTCTTAATTTTTGCTTCATGTATTTTGAAGCACTGTTAGAAAATGGATATACATTTACCTTTGGTATATTTTCCTGATGAATTGACCCTTTTTTTTTTATTATGAAACATCTCTTTGTATCTCTGGTAATGCTCTGTTTTGAAATATACTTTATCTGATATTAACAAGCCACTCCACCCTTCTTGTGTTTACTGTTTGTGTGCTGTATCTTTTTCCATCCATTTTCTTTCAGCTCACCTATCCCTTTGTATTTAAAGTGTGTTTCTTGTAGATAACCTATGGCAGGGTCTTGTTTTTTACACAATCTGACAATACATTCCTTTTCGTTAATTGGTGAGTTTATTTCCTGTAATTATCAATATAGTTAGGTTTAGGTCTCTCCTTTTACTCTGTTTTCTGTTTTTTGTTCCTCTCTTCCTATTCCTGCCTTCTCTGGGTCGTTTATTTATTTTTTGGAATTCCATTTTAGTTTAATTGCCATTTAGCCATACTGTTTTGCATTTTTACTTTTTATTTTTAGTGTTTGCTCTAGATATGACAATGTACATCCATAACTTTCACAGTTTATTTAGAGTTAGTGTTGTACCAGTTCATGTAAAATAAGGGATGTGCAATCCTCTACCCCATCACTTTATGCTATAATTGTCATATGTATTGCATCTACTTATGCCATCAATCACACAGTGTGATTTTATTATTTTTGCTATAAACAGCCATGTGTGTCTTTTAAACTTTAGGAGAGAAACAAAGAGTCTTTTCTGTGTATGAATGTATTTATCATTTCTGGTGATCTTCAGTCATCACAGAAGATCCAGGTTTCCATTTGGCATCATTTCTCTTCAGTCTGAAGGAACCATTTCTTGTAGTGCATCTCCGCTGCCAAGAAATTCTCCTGGTTCTCTCATTAACCTTGGTTCTTTGGGAATGGCTAGATCATAGGTGTATGTTTAACATTATAAGAATGTGCCATACTGTTTTCAAAACTTGTTCATTTTACTCTCCTACAAGCATTGAAAGAGAATTCTCTTGCTTCGTACTCTTTCCAGCCCTGAGATTGTCTGACTTTAAGACATTTTAGTTGATACAAAGTTTATTAAGTTATTAAGTTTATCTGTTTTTTACTTCTTTTCCAATCTTTATTTCTTTTCATTCTTTTTCTTCACTTTTTGCTTTGTGTCTCCTAATCAAATGTTGTATAGAGCTGGTGAGATCAGACGTCCTTTCCTTCAATGTTTTACCATTAAGTATGATATTAGCTCTAGGCTTTTTGTAGTTGCTTATTTATTAAGTTGAGGACATTCCTTCTGTCGCTGGTTGGCTGAGAGTTTTTAATCATACGTCACCATTGAATTTTGTCATTTTTTTTCCATATCTGTTGAGGTGATTTTTCTCCTTTATTCTGTTAATCAAAATAATTAAATTGGTTGCTTTTCAATTGTTAAACTAACATTGCGTCTCCTGGATAAGTCTCACATGTTCATGACATATTATCCTTGTATTGCTAGATTGGACTTGCTAATATTTTTAAAGGATTTTTGCATAAGGGATATTGGTCTGTAATTTTCTTTCTTGTAATCTCTTTTTCAGATTTTGGTATCTGGGTTATACTGGCCTCGTAAAGTGAATTGGGAAGTATTCCCTTCTCTTCCTACTTAAGTATTTGATAGAATTTATCAGTGACCCTGACTTTCATTTCTGATAAAGTATAAAATTATGATTTTAATATCTTTAGCAGATATAGGGCTATTCAAAATTTCTATTTTAGTTTTGATAAGTTTTGTTTTGAAAGGAATTAGTCCATTTCATCTAACTTTTTATTTATTTGTCTGTTTTTTGCTGTGGAAGATTCACCCTGAGCTAACATCTGTTGCCACTCTTTCTCTTTTTGTATGTGGGCTGCTGCCACAGCATGGCCACTGACGAGTGGTGTAAGTCCACACCTAGGAACTGAACCTGGGCCGCCAAAGTGGAATGTCCCAAACTTTACCACTAGGCCATTAGAGCTAGTCCTCATCTAACTTGTTAGAACTTTGGCCCTACAGTTTTTTTTTTTTAATTAGAGAATTTAATTCATATTTAACATATATTACATACATTATTCTTACATTAATTACTAACACATTTGGGTTTAGACCTACCGTA